CTCGTGTTTTTTCCCTAAAGCAAACATAATTATAGTAATAACTCGAGCTATCGGAAATGCATGGTGATGATTTTTTTTATGGAATCCATGGTAGTGAGTTGAGTAAACGATGGGCACCTTTTTAGGAAAGACAACTGAGCAAATGAATCTGATTTCCTTCTGCGATACACAAACAAATTGCCACCACCTCAAGAAAATTACTGATCAAACCAACATTTTCCATTTATGCCACACGTGCATTGCAATAATTATAATAAGCGGTTGCTCTTTTGATAAACGATGATATATTTATATCAAGATTATTTTTATAGCAAGTACACTCAGCCTCTGCAAAAACACAATATGTACAACCAAAATTATTGAAAATAAAAAAAATACATGACATCAAAATGCCATGCTACTTGTTGCCATAAACGTGAGGTCTGAGAAAAAAATTAACCCTATAATATTTACAAAGAATATTGGTTTGCAGCCCAGTGGCAGGGTCAGTTGACTTGAGATGTGGTAAGTAACAGGTTAGTAGAAAACCTATTATAGGCTAGCATTACTAAAAAATCACGTGGAGAATACTTTTAATGAGCGTGGTCCTAATCGAATCGATTGAGTTAAACCTAAGATATATTGTTGTGATTTGTATCAATCGGGATCCCTAGATAAGACATTATTTGTAGAGATTGATTGGTTGTACCTTAGCGATCAAGTTTTATAAATACAAGGCAAATCCCTATGGGGTATCGCACAGCAAACATTGTATTTGAGTTAGTAACAGAGGCAAGATACCGCGGTCGCGGCAATGACAGAACCAACCTCAAGCCCAATGTTTGATCCCGATTCATTCAGACATAGTGCCGCAACCACTTTAATCATGTGTACCAGTTCATGTCCATAGTGTACAAACCAGTGGTGCGGCGTCGACGGAACGCTCAAGTATGATGATCCTCGGGCTGGAGCACATGATTAAAGCGGTTGCGGCATTGTTGCGCGTCATGCCTGAATTTGGAGCAAACTTGGCACTTGAGGTTGTTTCTGCCATTGCCGCGTATGCGCCCACCATTGCCACGACCAGCAGTGTCGACGGTCAGGATTTGAGCTACATAAAAATAAAATGCGCCTTATATGATGTTAGACCAGATCACAGCTAAATTCAGAAAAGAAAGGCAGATAGGTTTGTAACTAGTTTGTGGTGCCATGTGTACAGGATTCGGTAGAGGTTCACTTGACACTTCAGAGTTCAAGGATGGAGGTGACATGCTTTGTTTCTGCTTCAATAACATGATGGAGTAGCCCATTTCAAAACTTGGAGTAGCAAGCTCAAGCCCGGTTTCTGAACTTCCGTGGAACATCATTTTCTGGACTTGCTTACCATGTTATGTAGCTAGCACTGTGCGAGAGTAGCTGTGTGTTCTTCTTCCTGAATGTTTGGATGATGATCTCAACTTTGCAGGTCAGAAGTCGATGGGAGGTCGACACGGCGTCCGTTCCCCTGCCGTATCTGCACCCAGCAGGGACCCTCACCAGGCCTCCACTTTGCCGGGCCACCGTATCCTGCCGGGCAAAGGGTAGCCCGGCCATGGCGTACTGCACGCGACCAGTTCTGTGACACTTGAGACGGACGAAAGCGAAACAGCAGCAGCAGCGGCAGCAAAGATACTGCTGCTCCTTCCTCACTCGTACCCTGCTCCCTTCTCGTGATGCTCGTCTTGCTGCTCACCAGAGCGAACCGCCACTGACGATGACAAACAGGGCAGTTTATGATCTTTTCTGAACCAGCAACAAACAGCACAGCACAACTTTTGTCTGAAACAGAGTTCCTGAACTTCCTAATTAACATGTTGTAATCCTTCTGTGTAAATGTTTGAGAGGAAAATCAACCTTGCGTCGCAGGAGAGAAGAGAGAAGCCTATGGGCGACGCTACAGGTTGTGTGGGTGTGTAACTTAATATAACAAAAAGAGATTTGGGTTTGTGACCTCCAAATTGCAGCAGATCTGGGTTATAAGAAGAATTTCCACCTCTCCTTTGGTTCTTCTTCTTGATGATACAGCTCCTTCTACCTGTGTACAATCCATGGAGTGTCAGTTAACTTCTGTTGTGAAATGATGAAAGTTTTGCACTTACATGTGTTGCAGGAATGATGATTGCTCCTGCAGCAAAACGTTTCATATCCGTTCGCAGGATATGAAACCCACAAATCCATGCAAATTTTGTGCAATTACATCCATAAAAGAATACACTTTGGTAAACAAATACTACAGCACCGCACAATGCACTGCCATTCAAATATTCAACTGAATGGGATCAATGTTGTACAGTAACAGTAACAACAGCGCCAATGGGATTATTTTACAGAAAGCAGTTCTCTCCAGGTTCACATTTACAATTTGCATCATCATTTTCAATGTCTCCTCTTCGTATTAAGAAAAAGAGTATCTTGTTCACATTGCACACAAATATTGACTCGCTGAGCGCACCTGAGCTGCCTAGAGGATAAAATTTGGTCCAAAACTACGATGTATAGGTATTTCACTCCGATAATGTACTTAACTCTGATAATACTGAAGAATCTGCAGCAGGAGCATACTCGTCCCCGCAGAAGAAGGGCTCAGGAGGCATCTCCAGGCCATTGATGCCAGCTTCGAGCATGTCTAGCACCTCGCTCATGGCCGGTCGATCGTCTGGCTTCATCTGGATGCACCAAAGCGCAACGACGCACAACTTCCTCTCCACCTGATGGATACTAACAGCCTCCGAGATCCCACCCACCTCTTGCCGAGACAGCTGATTGTACACCCATGACGGGTAGTACGTCTGGCTTCTTGACGCTTGTGGGTCCACGTTCCTCCGTCCCCCGGCCATCTCTAGCAACAACATCCCGAAGCTATAGACGTCAGACTTGGACGATATGGCACCAAAGCTACGGGACACCATCTCAGGAGCTATGTAACCAACTGTTCCCCGGGCAGCACTCACTGGCAAAAAGCTGTTGTCCCTGGGGTACAGTTTCGCCAGCCCAAAGTCAGCAATTTTTGGGGTGAAATCACTGTCTAACAGGATGTTGTGCGGCTTGATGTCGAAGTGTAATATCTGCATATCACACCCTCGGTGCAGGTAGTCGATCCCTCTGGCAATGCCCAGAGCAATCTGATTGAGCTTGTCCCATGAGAAACTCTTCTCTGGCGAGAAGATGTACTTCTCAAGAGATCCATGGGGCATGTACTCGTAAACAAGAGCCCTCCTCATTTCCTCTGAGCAGAAACCCACCAGACGCACTACATTGACATGGTTTATGCTTCCGATGCTGGACACCTCACTGATGAATTCTTCTCCATTGGACATGGAACTGACCAACATTTTGATGGCAACATGGACGTCACCAGGAAGCAAACCTTTGTACACGGACCCATAGCCTCCTTGGCCCAGCTTGTCTCTGAAGTGGCTAGTGATCGCAGTGATGTCTGTGTAAGCGAACCTTGTTGGGCCAAGGGCTAGTTGCATCTGGAGGAACCTCTCAACTGCGTCAACTGATATCTTTGTTTGCCAGTACTTGTAGGCAAGGAAGATCAATACAGACAACGGTGCAAAGACTAACCTGGATAGTACTGCCAACACTGCATAAACAAGATTACAGACATGAGTTACATGTATAAAGTTATGGAGCTGTAATAATAAGGATTGGATGATTCTGTCATACCGATAATGAGCTTCATGATACTTATAGCAGATACTATGACTAACACAGCCCAATATAATTTAGTGTATTTAGACAAGGAGTTGTTTTCTACACATCCCAAGAAACGCACGTCGATGGCAAAAATCACAGAAATCTTATTTTGGATGCTTGAACTAGACATCTGTTCATGGAAGTCACTGCAAGGTATGACATGGATTGGTGAGAAGATAAACAGTTTTTTTGGTAAGACAATCCCATTTGAGGTGGAAAATGCAACCAGAGAGCATAGCATAGAGACTCACCTCCTTGAATTTTTCAGGCATGTCTTGAGGATCCAAGAATATGTCCATTCTGGAGCTGGGAAAGGAAATCTAAAAGCAAACCCATCCCTCATAAATTTTACAATATCTTCATAATCATAAGTTGAATAATAATCATTTGGCCCCAGACCCCAGCTTCCCAAAGGAGTCATGGCCAAGTATCCACATGAAGGCTCAACATTCTGAACCAGATAAGATTGCGTGGTACTCAACACATAAACAAAAGAAGTGTTCGTACTCCGGCAAGCGACAGGCTTATAAATAAGATTATCTTTCATCATCCTTGAACAACTGACAAAGGCAGCCCATTTAACCGTACGCATATGTAACAAGAACATGTAATCTGATCTCAATCCATAGATATAAGGATGTTGATTCCTCTCAGGAATAGGGCAGCTGCTATTATCCAAACTGGCATCAACAACCCAGAAAACAGAGTCGGGGTAGGAGATGTTGGTGATGAAGTACCTTCCCGTATTGACTTGAATTATAGCCTGGTCATCGCTACAAACAAGCTCGTATTCTTGAACACCACAACCAGGTGGATTCCCTCGTAATCGAAAAGGATGGTGGATGTCTTGGAGATGCCCACAGGAGAAAGAGGGGCAAACTGCTTGCCCCAGAGTATCTTCCGCTCCAGTCTTTGTTAGAAAAACTGAAACTGTGGAGGAGATTGCTAATGCTTGGAGTATAACAGAACGCGGAAATGCAACGGAGATCGTCATGAGAGCTTCACAGATGCAGGATCAGGCATAGAAGCTGGTACTAGAGTTAAGAAGAAGGCTAATATGGTCTCAGATTAATATACGAATTTTCTGGTGCATATGGATTGATGGAGACACAAGAGGAAGAATAGTCAAGCCTGGTGTACAGGAAGATAGGCTTTGACTTGTCAAAGGCAACATCCAGGAAGATATTTCTTTTCTTTATGATTTCAACATTACAAAAGAAGCACAGTTTTTGTAGGCATAGCTTCATCTCATTTCCTCCTCATCTTCATTTTTCACACAAATGTTTGAAGCTTTGGTTGTAGCTCTGTTGTTCTCTGTTCTTAACTATGGAATCAACAGAGCCACAGCAAGTGGTGATGGAGATTTCTTCCATAACTGCGCACCATCCAGGTGCAGCGAAGAAGGCACAATAGAGATCCGATTTCCATTCCGCCCAGCAACCAGCCCCCCATCCTGTGGAGCACCTGGCTTGGAGCTAGCATGCTCAATGGAAGCAGATACCATCCTACTTCACCCAATCCTTGGACTATGCAAGGTCACTGCAATTGACTACAGATTTGGTGGCCTGAATGTCATCCCGCTTGAAGAATCATGGACTAGGTGCCCGCTTCAGAAGATCTCTGCCACCAATCTATCAACTAGTGTCTACATACCTGACAGTTACGGGGGTGAAACTGCAATCCTGGTACGCTGTTCAAGAGAGTTGATACCAACAGAGAAGGCCGGTACGACACCAGGTATGGGGGACAGTATTGTTGGCCCAATCTCTTGCCTGAGCAACACAAGCCAGTTCATATATTTGATGGACGGTAGTGAACCAATGTATATTCTTCCCTTAGACTGCAAAGTGGTTTCAAATGGTATTTCAACGCCGTGGGATTATGATATCAATGATGTGTTATTCACTGAAAGAGCCAGAAGGGTCATTGCATTTGGTGAGACAACCTTGACTTGGTCAGTTCCTAACATAACCGACATTTGTCTAGACTGCGAGCGAAATGGGCATCCCTGCGGATTCAGCTCACAACGCAGGCAAGCATTCTGCAAGCGCCAAGGTATTGTTTCTAGTAATTCTTAAGCATCGAAGGATTTGTTCTGAATAAATTGCATGCCTTAAATATTTTTGACAAGAGTACCTAAATGATCGAAATAAAGACCACTTCTTTTTATCCAACCTTTGCTATATATGCAAATATGTCTCTGTTTACCAGCATATCTGAGTCCAGTAAATATTTCACACTCGCATGGTTCTGATACTCCCCCATACAGATAGCATATACAACATTAAAAGTAACCTATTTTTATAGTTAAATTCTTACTAGAAAAGTATCACTTTGTTCAGGCATGAGTATTATTTTGCACAAAAAATCTAAATCGCTTATTTCCTACATGCAGGTTCACGTGTGAAAGTCATTGCAGGTATTATGCATACATTTTGTTGTATATTACTCTTATTCTTGCATCTTACCCATATATAAGAGGAAAGACATGAAAGCAAGATTGTTTTAGTCCAAGTATAACTCACTGTTTGCCTGCATTCTTGTTTTTCAGCAACATCATCGGTAGCCACATTTGTGGTTCTCTTGTTGACGGCAGCCACAGCACTCTATCGGTCCCTAAAATCAAAGGTCGATGAAGAGGTGCGTTTGAAAATCGAAATGTTTCTCCAGGCATATGGCACATCAAAACCAACAAGGTACACATTCTCTGAAGTTAAAAAAGTAATAAGGCGATTCAAAGATAGACTGGGTCAGGGTGGATTTGGAAGCATATACAAAGGTCAGCTGGCAAATGGAGTACCTGTGGCAGTAAAGATGCTGGAGAATTCAAAGAGCGGCGAAGAAGAATTCATGAATGAAGTCGCAGCCATTGGTAGAATCCACCATGCTAATGTGGTCCGTCTCTTGGGATTCTGCTCAGAAGGAACAAGGCGTGCTCTTATCTATGAATTCATGCCTAACGGATCTCTCGAGAAGTATATATTCGCACATGAATCAGATATTTATCGAGAGCTATTAGCACCTAATAAAATGCTGGACATAGCATCAGGCATTGCACGGGGAATAGAATACCTGCATCAAGGGTGCAATCAGCGGATCCTCCATTTTGACATCAAGCCTCACAACATCTTGCTAGATTACAGATTTAGTCCAAAGATTTCTGATTTTGGGCTTGCGAAGCTGTGTACAAGGGACCATAGCATCGTCACACTGACTGCAGCTAGAGGAACAATGGGTTACATTGCACCAGAACTGTATTCTCGAAACTTTGGGAGAATATCCAGCAAGTCCGATGTCTATAGCTTTGGCATGCTGGTGCTGGAAATGGTGAGCGGTAGGAGGAACTCAGATCCATGGATTGAGAACCAAAACGAGGTTTACATCCCAGAATGGATATATGAGAAAATAAGCACGGAGCAAGAACTGGAATCATCAAGGGAAATGACGCAAGAAGAGAAGGATACAGTAAGAAAGCTAGCCATTGTGGCACTGTGGTGCATTCAGTGGAACCCGAAAAACCGCCCATCCATGCCGAAAGTGCTGAACATGTTAACAGGAGCCATTTATTTCGTCTCCGGGCCACCCCATGCCACAAATCTAGAGATTTGTTTCACTGGGACTCTGAATGTATTTATTTCGGACACCGATACTTAATTTGCTGCGCAGTAATGCTGTATTGTATTGTACATGACACTTGATTTTCAGCTAAATAAGCAGTCTAATGGTAAGCCGTACGGCATCTCGCAACGTGAAATATCGCAAATATCTGAATCATTCCCCGTCTCGTTGCCGGATCTGTACGAGCGAACCAGGCAAAGATAATCAAGTACGCATACAGCTGTGAAAATGAGACAAATTGGAAATGCGCACAAGAGAAAGGGGAAGGAGGAGCTTCACCTTAATTTCTCGGTGCGGCGGCGAGCTACCGGAGACGGCAGCGACGGCGGCTGCGGGAAAAGAAAATGCTCAGGCACGGGAGAGTGGCTGGATCCATGGGAGCGCGCGTGGCCGGGAGGCATTGGGAGTGGGGAGACGGTCTAGATCGCCGCCGCCCCTGCCGGAGCTCCGTCGGGAAGTGTGGTGGGGCGGCCGCCGGAGGCAGGGGACGGGAGTAAAGCAGCTTTTTTTTTTTTTCCTTTTTTCTTTTGATGAGGCGGCCGCCGTCTCCGGATCCAAGTAGAGGCGGGCCATACAGTGGGACCTTTTCTGTAGTACTCCACGTTAACCATTCTTACAAAATATACATTTTCTTCACAAATGTTTTTAATATTTTTTAACACATGTCAAACATTTTTCTAATACACTTTTCAATGGCACATAACATTTTTTTAAACTACGCGAACTTTATTTATAGTGTATAAATATATTTTAATTGCCAGTAACATTCTTTTGAATGGTACATAAAATCTATTTCATATACTACGTAAATGTTTTATTACATTGTATAATTTTTTAAAAATTTCACATACATATTGTTGAAACTTGTGAACATTTTTTTATTTTTCTGAATGGCACCGGATACCTTTTTAAAATTATGAGAACATTTTTACATTGCATAATTTTTTTATTAAAATGTCACGAACATTATTTTTGAAGTGTGTGAACATATTTTGATTGTCACGAACATTCTTTTTAAATGCCATCAACATTATCTTATAGTTGTGCGAACACGTCTTTACACTACAAGAACATTTTTCAATGAGAAAGTAATATTTTCTAAGAGTTAAATAAAATATGTTTCTATTTTGGAAATATAAATATAAGTAATAAAGCAATAAAAATTAAAAAAAACCGTGCTAGGAGCCAACCCTCCCTCCCGCAATGGGCCAGCCTATTTAGGGGGTCTGAGGAAAGGAGTTCTTTCATCTTTGCATCAAATTCGACCTAATTCGAATAGGGCGGCCCTCGACTAGGCCGGCCCATGTAGTGAGTGTGAGCCTACTGTGTAGCAAGTCAATCCTATCAATAACAAGAATGGCGCCTTTAATTTTTTTTTTTGAAAGATGGAGTTTGGAACAAGGTGAAGGGTTAGATGGCTAAGATCCTATGTGTTGGTGGCAAAGAGGTTCTATAAATCTGTTGCACAAGATGTGCCCATCTATTCTAGAGAGAATTCATTATTTGGCACTATCTTAAAATGTGGTTCCCTATTTGGCCCTGAAGAAATTTGTCTTCCCTATTTGACATCTGCTCTAAATTTCTTTCCCAATATGACACTCTAGTGCATTTTGTTCACTAACGGTGTTAAAGACAGATGTGAAAAGACCTTTTTACTGGTGCATAAGGTGACCAAAAATCTGTACATGACAATATCTACAATTATTTTACATATTTGGTCATGTTAAATGACCAATTGAAACCCCATAATTTGGTCAATGGACTGATGTTGTGAACGATGTATGGGTGATATGGTTCTCCTATCCGGCCGTGCGTGAGTCCTACAAATGGCCTTGTGCCTCTGTATTTATTGTATTTATAGGGAATGGAGATAGGCAGAGGCGCAGAGCGCGAGCATTTGTTCCGATCTTCGTGGAAGGAAAGAGATATGAAATCCCATCTACGAGCTCCGCTGCGGGTATTTGTATACGTGCATGTACATAGTACAACTTAACTATATTTTATTTTTTTAACACAGTACAGACGCAAGCGCTCACATATACTATTTAACACGCCACGGCCAGCTGAGACTATATTGGTGCATGCATGGATTAGTCAAGTATTCGGGTATTCGGAGAAGTATAATAAGCGCCGGTCATGGCGCCGGGTATTCGGAACTAACGTGCGGACGTTCAGATATATGTACGCGTCGATGAGACGTCAGCGGGAAGTGCTCCGGACCTCTACATCTGCAAGGTTAGCTAGCTACATGATCAAATAGGTACACTGGTGCACTTATGTATTCGGCCAGTATACGTGTGTGCGAGCATACATGCATGCATGGTACGTGAAGCAACTGGGCAATCAAGTGTGTGCATGCACATAGGTATAACTCTAAATGTACGTGTAACTTGCACTAAAAAAAGAAACTGGACTTTGCTTTCTCAAAGCGACAAGCACAAAAACACGTCAAACAACAGAGACGAGAGGGATGGCTAGATCGGGATCAGGATATTTTCTTTTGTTCGATGTGGGCTACCGACTAGCATAGGGGTATTTTGGTCCATCCAATTTTTTTTTGACAGAACAGTGTAACGAAACCGACGGCGATGTCACATAAGGAAAGAAATTTAGACTACATGTCAAATAGGGAAGAAAAGTTTCTTCAGGGTCAAATAAGGAACCACATTTTAAGGTAGTGTCAAATAAGGAATTTTCTCTCTATTCTATGTCATGCTTTAAACTCCCCTGAGGCCTATGTGAGCATATGAAGTCCTTGATCCGAAGAT